AACAAAAAAAGGAAAGACGACAATTCCGCCAGTTTAATTTTGAGTAAACAGATCACAACAGAAACATGATAACAGCCATTTGATGTATGAGAAAATCAAAACAGATAAACAGGAAGAACAGAGGTAAAGAAAAGAAGTAGGGCCTACCAGTGGTGCCCTCCAACAAACCACTAACATGTACCGGTATCCAGAAGTACAGGACTTGAATCTCTGTCAAAAATGGATAGGTCTACACAAATTACGGTAAGTTTCTTATCCCTCCAAGAAAAGAACATTTTGCGTCTCTGCTCAGAAGACTGATGTAGCAAGACCAAGTGTTCTAGTTTGAAAAATATATTGCTTCAAGATAAGTTTTTTGTTCAGAAATTTGTCCTGTTAAAAGGAATGAGTAAAATGACTTGCGAATGCTAAAAACAAACATGAGATTTTTCAAAGAAAAAGACAGAATAGTTAAGTGCTAAGAAGCAAAATTATTATAGGCAGACAAGGTAAAAAAGCATTAATTTTTCTCTTGTGTTAATTTGTGTTTTTATTATGCAGGCTTCGACCCTGTCTGTCAGGGCCAACTAAAGCTAAGAGTGATACCTCTCAGTAGAAAAGACTGAGACACCCAGTAAAAATTCTCTCAACTTGGGAATCGAACCATGGTCCCCTGTGTGCGACAGCCAAACAGTGAAACACCCACAGCTACACCACAGACGCTGGTGGAAAAATGACGAAGAAAAGAACGCCATCCAAAGTAAAATACAGCACATCTTTATATGCCATTATAATATTAGTATTTGAACGGTTGAACATGCACAACATGAAATGATTATGTTTAGAGGGTCTATTTACTCCAAAACACATTTGGTTGCTTTTAAGCACAAGGGGGCTATCCCGAAAAATACTGTTTTGAGAAAATCGAAGGTAAGGTACATGTATTTGCTCCTTGTTCAGTTTCTTTATTAAAAGACAAGGAGAGTTTCCTCCATAACTAAACAAATATACACACCAATGAAACCAAACTTCTTCTATAGGAAGGGCAATGCTCACTTTTGATGTAGGTCATGATTTCTGGAAACCCCCGAAATCTGGGTTAGCCAGCTTGTCCTTAAAAGTAAAAGCGACCATTTGTGTGATGATGCGGTGGAATCAGGTACTCATCAATTTTTGGGCATGTGTAGATATTAATATTATCTAAAAGCTTGTTTATTTGTTTTGCTTTTAATAAAAAGAAAACCTGTTTATCTTGAATAGAAATTGAGATATTTGCGATTGAATAAGGGAAGAGGATGTGATGGCATCATCAAGTAAAAATAAAATACAGGAGAGAAAAATAGGACCTATCAGATATCCTAACCATAAAGAATCTAGACATTGTGCAAAAATATCATGAAGTACATTAAAGGCGTACTATCAAAATATCTTCAAGAAATCAGAGACGAATCAAAAGTTGACTCTTAGTGCTCACACAGTACAGAGTAATTTTGTTAAGAAAATTTTGGAGTATCTAACAATTTTCGCAATGAGTAGATTTAAAAAAATACCTTTGTTTTTACTAACACCTTCCTTGATCAATACAAAAAGAAGGCTTTATCTTATCCTAGGCTTTCTCAGTCGCCTAGCTTATATCACAAAATATACCCCCAAAAATTAAAAAAACACAAAAAAATTCCATTCATACAAACCGTTTGATTTCATATTCGAACTTATTCCTTACAGTTATTCAAATTATCCTCAGGTCAAAGAAAACTGGTGATGGTAATTTTGGTACATGTACAGAATTAATGTAATCCATCATAATCATTTTTAATCCAAGTGATTAAACACAGAGAGCTGCATTTATACTAATTAGTCAGTATACACATGTATATCTCAAACATTGGTTGCTACAGGCCATCTTTCTAAAAAAAACCAAAAAAACTACGTTTTCCAAATAACTTTTGATTCCCCAAAAGCTGAATTTTGTAATTTATAGGACTACATACTCATTTATATGATTGTCTTTTCAGTTCTAGGCAATATTTTTTAAAGTTGCAGCATCAAATAAATTTAAGGGCACATCTACCCAGGGTGATAGGCCTTTTCCTGCTTCACTATTGGCATTAAAAAAGTTTCACACTTACAGCATAGTCTTTGAACTTTCCGACAATATTCAGTGAGTTGAGCACAATAAAACAACGCCTTCCATGATCTGACTCTGGACTCTGGGTGGCAAAGCTCAGAACATAAACAAAAGGATATTGATAAACATTAAACAGCTTTATTCTGCTTATATCCTTACTTCAAATTTGACTTATGGCTTAAAAGAGAGGATTCATAACCAGTCCTATAGGCCTATAGCTTACTTAAACTAAACCAACAATTCCTTAACAAACACACAAAAAAGAGAAAATGCTTTGATGACCAGATACAAACCATTTTTTTCCGAACTATAAAGTTAAATTAAAACATTATTAGAGTCAAAATTTGGAATACATTAGTGCATTTTATCAAAAGTTATTAAGTGTTAACGACAACAAAAATTATATTTTTCAAATAGACAACCTCGAGACACAACATTGACAGAAATGTTCATGTTACATTGCAATTTTTGTCTAAAACAAAAGTCAAGGGAATGTGTGCTATATGATTATTAGTATCTTGAACAGGACAAACCATTTAGTAAGTAGAGTGAAAAAAACAAACAGTATACACCAAATCAGATTCTGATCTACAGTAATAATCAGTGGGGGTTTTTTAAAACATAATATACAGTATCTCAGCATTAGTCAAACTGGCATACAGATGATTTACTCATGCTGCATCAGCACCATTAGAACATTTTGTACTTAACAATTTGAACCAGTTATGAGGGCTGTCCAACAAGTATATACATGGGAACTGGATACAGTTCCAGATATATTATGTAATAATAATAATATTATATAAATGTCACATATATATATATATATATTTTAATGCTTTATACGCTCCCATCAACACAATTTAGATCTTTTAGGAGGTGGTTTCTTTGAATGTCAGCTTCTGAAATGAAAATTCGTAGGCACCCTGCACATGGATCACCTTCTATATATTCGTCCATCCGTGCACACAGCACTTTTCATATACATCATGTGCTTGCTATTCACTCATTATATCAACATACACATACATACAGTATAACACGGATAGGTCTAACACAGAACACTCGAAATCACGCGCCCGTTGAACAGTGCCTGCTGTCCCGTTTTTTGTTTTCTTTGTCTTTGTAAGATATCCCTCGAACTACGGATCCCTCGAACTACCGAGGCCGGTCCCGACGAATTTGAGCTATCCGTGTTATACTGTATATATATGTATACACAGCAAGGAGTTCACTGAAAATCTTTGTAGGATTCTTCACCTTTCATTTGTAAGAATTGTATGGCTCCACTCAAGTTTCTTTCAACCATTCCTCTACAACTACAGGAGTCGCAATGTTCGATGTGACATTATAGAGATTCAATATTATACCTTCCGTGGTTTAACTAACTAAAAGGTTTTTAGGCGGTTTTTTTTGGTAAGGTTTCAAAGTGTTTGCAACTGCATTAGGTCATATGAGCGCCATGGGGTGGATGTCAACAGAGAAGTTCAAAGGGGGAATCAGGCTTACTCAGTTCACCTTTCTAGCCTCAACAGCACAAAGTCTGCTTCAACTATCAAGGCACCCCGGAAATAATAGTTCACAAGAGAGTGACAAACATACAAAAGAAGTAGAGCAAAATGGCAATAGTAAGGGTGAGGAAAGAAAAAGCAGCAGTTCCCCCTTTGTTGTTCCGGCACAGTATGAGCATGACATTGATAAATCAGCCCATTTACAATTCTACTGTGCATAAGAACATGTTAAAATATATCCCCCCTTTGGGAATGTCCTAAAGACAACTTCAGTCAGTAGTGCTGCCCTGGTAGGGGGTTGACTAAAAGTGCTTTAGGGAGAACAAGTAGTGTACATTCCTAGCTTTTCCTTTTGTGTCCAGTTAAAAAAGTACAAAATTACTTTTTAGTTTTATGACCATTTTCACACCATTTTTCAAACAGCCTTTGTACTTGATTGATTGAGTAGATGTTTTACGGCACTATTGACTCAATTTTGGTCATTTAAGCGCCAACAGGTTTCACCGCAACAAAATCAGACGTGTTTTAGTAAGAGTCTCTCGGAGCTCACAACCGCACACGGTCACAGTATTCTCATTGTTTGTGTGTGACGTGCATGTGTCCTATCTTTAATCTGGTAAAAATTACTTTTTCTCTTCGTAGGAGAGACAGTGGTTTCCTGGGCGCAAGTTTCAGTTGAATGTAATGGAGTTTGTTGTGTATTTGTTGATTCCAAAGCCTTTGTACTTGTACAACAGATCTACACATGTACCTACATAAAAGACAATCTCAAGAGACTTTTTTAAAATATCAAATTCAAATTTTTTGTATCTTTCTTTCATTGGATCATGCTTCCAAAGTTTTCCTGTGAAACAGACGAGTAAACAGTGATTAAATGAAAAAGTAAAGACAAAGTAACAACAAGTGTCAGTTTCAACATTTGTAACTAATCCAGCAATCATATAAACTGCAAAAGTAAAATGCAGAAAGCTATATCTTTCCTCTTGAAAGTAATTCCAAAACTCCATCTGGGAACTGCAATGTACACGGGAATCACATAATATTTGTAAAGATATATTTTCACAGCACCTCTTCACTCTCAGCTACTGTTCTATATATTTTAAAAATGCCACGTAAAAAAAAGGAAATGATTTCACAAAAGAATGTCAGAATGTGTGGAGCAGCAAGGATACACAGGAAAGCATAATAATCATACATGATGTAATTGAGGCTGACAAAGTTTTACTCCCCCATCAACAGTATTAGATCATTTGTGAGGCATGCTGACAAAATGAATTACTTCTCGCAATCCACATTTAGAGATGTTGGCCAAAAATTGACACAAGGGTAAAATTTGTAAATTTTCTAATGATGCCATATATTATATTTAAGTATAACATGCCTTTTATTATTTCATATTTATAAATTGAAAAAAACTCCACTTATAAGTAGGCTACAAGCGTGATGTACCTTTTTCCATTTGGGTTCGAATCCGAGAAGTAACTTAATTTTATCAGCACTCTTCACATTTAGGAGGCAATCTGATTCCACCCTTCCTGTCAGGGTTAACTTAAAAGGAGAGGAATACAATGCAGTGTCCCATCATAAAAATGAACATATCAAATAAAAAATATTCTCCTGTCACTGGAATCAAAGCCGTGTCTTCTGCATGCAAGGGTGAAGCCGTAACTGCTACACCACAGAAGCCAGTGCAGGAAAACAGAACCAATACACAACAATAAAGTTAAAAAGGTACCCATTTTATATATGGGTTCCATTCATGGAATAGGCTCATGATCAGGGTGCTTAGAACGCATGTGGCTCTGCAAAGAGGCCTTGTAGTTGAATCCCTGGCTGCAAACAGGACAAGAGAAAGCTTTGTGCAAGGAATGGACTCGCATGTGAATCTTTAGATTGTACTTCTGGGAACATTTTTTCCCACAAATATGACACTCGTATACCTTTTCAACAAAGTGAACAGTTGTGAGATGTTTCCTCAAAGCCCCTGCATGCCTGAAGACTTTTGAACACACAGAACAAATTATCTGTCGATTGCCATGAGCCCGCACTATATGCTCCTTTAGAGACCTCTCATTCTTGAGCGTTTTGCCACAAACATTGCACTGTGCGTGCACCTCAACTTCTGGATGCATAGATTTCATATGATTCCGTAAAGAGTATAACATGACCCCACACTTTGGGCAGGGACGCCTGGGGAGGAACTGAACGTACTTCTGGTGAGTGCGCAACGTCTTCAGAGATGGGAATTTCCTGTCACAGTGATCACATGGCAGCAGCTTTTCCAGGTGCTTCTCCTCATAATGTCGCTGTAGATGACTACGCATGGGTAAGTTATCGCCACAGAAAATGCAAGTTTTCCAATGCGTTGCTTTATGACTGTTGAATTCACTCACAGTTTGGCATTTTTCATTACACACTGAGCACTGAAAAATAGGTTTACTCTTCTTTTTCTCTGTGTGCTTTTTTTCACAGTGTCGGGCGTAGGCATCTCTTGTTTTGCAATTATACCCACAAACACAGCACTTATAACTAAAATCACTTGCATGATTTCTTCTAATGTGTTCAATCAGGGATCCATTCTTCATCTTAGCTGAACAAATAGGACAATCAATCATACCGGGGTTTTCCATACTTTCAGCTAATTTATCAGCTGGGCCAATACCATGCTTTCTTCTTTCATGTGCTATTAAATAAGCCTGCTCAGAAAAACTTAACCCACAGCGTCCACAGGTGGCCGCACCGATCTTCTTCTTTCTTCGATGAGCCAATAATAGATTATAATTTCCAAATGTCTTCTTACAATATTTACAATGAAAATTACTGTTAATATTTGCATCTTGTCCATCCATGTCACATTCTTCACTCACAACATCTTTTGTTTTACTATCTTTTAAAGAAATACCAGTTCTGTGTTCATTTACTTTTACCAATCGACGGGTAGCCGTTTTCTTACCGTGCCGTGAGGAGCAATGTTCTCTCCATAACAACTCTGTTCTAAACTTTTCTCCACACACACAACACAGATACAATGGATTGGAGAAGTGAACAGAGTCAAAATGTACCACGCACCCACGATCACTCACAGACTTCAAGCACAGAGGACAATCACTTTTGTCTCTGAAAACTTTCAAATCCACCCATGGGAATTCATCATCAAACTGTTGTTTCAGGTCCTGTACCTCAGGGTGAACACAGCAATAGTGAGCCAACAATGAGCCTTGAGAGAAGTGAACGGTGTTACACACCCGACACATCACCTCACACTCTGGATTTAAACGGTGCTCTACCTTAGCTCTTCTGGATGAAAATGTCTTTCCACAGAGTTCACAAGTGAACCGGGGGGCAAGACGCTTGCCACTGGCCACTTCTTCTGTTGGTCTTTTGGCAACTTTGTCTTTCACAACAGTGTCCTTCTCTCGTTCACTGCATCCTTTTCGCTTGGTTGCCTTGTGAATGGTACAACTCGAAACAATTGCACTACTAGCGTCACAACTCCTTTTTTCATCTGCTTTCTTTTCCACACTGGAATCTTCTAGAATTTCTTCTACATCCAATACAACAGAGTCAGTGACTATCTGCTCATTTCTTTGGTTCACATTCCAGTGTTCATTAACAGTAACAGAGCAAGCAGTCCGACCATCTTTCTCCACCAAACATGAGACTTTAAGATTATCATGGTGTTCTTGGGTTTCTTGTTTTGGTAACATCAGAGTGGCTGCACTGACAGCGGAATTTTCTGGGTTTGTAGAGCTGCCTTTGGCCAGTATACCATGTTGATTCTCACATAGGGACCAGGTATCCCAATGACAAACCTTTTGAACTTCCTTTAATGTTAAGTCATTATCAACATGCATCAAGGTGTTTTTAGTTTTTCTCGTACAAATTTGCGACAATTCTATCTTTGCCAAACTACTATTTTTCAAAGTTTCCTTTCCTTTTCCTAAAGTTAATAAAGTCTCTGGTCTAAAATTTGTATCTTCACAATCATTTTCGCTGACAGACCCTGAGTCTTGATCAGGAGAGGAATGACAGCTTTTGACTGGACGAGTTTTGCTGATTTCTGAAGGAACCTGACTTGAAAGAGATGTAAGAGACTCAAGGGGACTACTGTTTGAGGATGCTGAGGGAACCTCGCAACAGAGTGAACTTTCTTCTTTTTTACAAGTCATAAGACCTGTGAGTTCACTGTCTCTGAAATTAGTAAATAACGAATCTTTGGAGCTTTCGGTATCATTGCTTGAGTTCAACACCAGGTCAATCTTGACAGTCCTGGTAAACTTACTCCTCGAGAAAAACTCTCCATCAATGAAGACATCTATATGTCCTGAAACATTAAAAGCTTCACCACAATTTTTGTCTGGATCAAAGCGAAACATGTTTGTAATGCTCCACACTTAGTGGAACCTACTAATCAAGTTTCCATGCAGATGAAACAACAACAGCTGTAATGGCAGCAAACAAATGAAGCTGAAATACTGAAGAAGGCCCTCACTGTCCCTGGCACTGACAGATCTGAGATTGAGTTCAATGAACCACTGTCATGCAGAGAGCCCACCACAAGGCATGAACCAGGAAGCCTGAAAAGACACAAAGAAGGTAAAAATATAAGGTCTGGCATATCCGCACACTTGGAGTACAGAAAAAAATAGCGCAAAGTGCAATTTAGCTTGTACTCCTGTTTAAAAGAACAAAACCAAAAAATTATTTAAAAATTTTTCAGTCAGCAGGTGTTTCACACCCTTGGAAATAAATCAAAAGAACCAAATATTCCATTACAATCTCCCTAGCCCTTCAACAGTTTATGTTGTCAGGTCAAGCAAGCTGACAGGCAAACATCATACCTGTTGATCTGCTAAGCCCCCAGTTAGCCTAATAATAAAACGACCTTCATGGGACCAGAGTATTTCAGTGTTAAGCTGAGTACTAATGAAAATGACAAAAAGGGGAGATGCCTATTATTACTTTTAATTACCTTAATTGGTCAAAAGTGAATGACATTATATACATTTTTATTAAATCCCTTTCTTGAACCTAAGGTGCTATATACCCTGTTCAGCTTTTGGTCAATGAGCAAGAAAAGTAAGATCAGATGCAAGGCCTTACAGCATTTACCCTAGACATAAGTTTTGAAGAGCAGCTAACCTTTGATAATGGAACAAAACGGGAACCTTAACCTCAGTCAGATGCCTTGACTGCATAGAATGAGTTTTCAGAGACGGGTGACGCTGTTTACTTGAAAAGGTTTTCCATGATAGGCCTACTACTGAGTTACTCAGTCTAAAAATTTTAAAAACATCAAACTGATAAATCATAGCGGCACATTATAAAGATAAATTGAAAATACAATAAATAGGGGGGCCTGCCCAACTAAAGTAAAGACAGTCGAGTCAGCAGCTTGCATCATGTCTCTCATCTCCCTGACCCTCGAATTCAAAACATATGAAGCTACAGCAAACACCTAGCACACCTCTGTGATTGGCCTAAATATAGATGACGCATTCCCGCCAGCTATTTTTGACGTCTTCCGGGTCTTCTCTCACCAGCTGACTAGAGATCTCACCGTGGCGGGCCCGCTTTGCCACTTAGCATGCGCTACGTCACTAGGTTTCATCGCAGACCGCTTGGGCTGTGTGTGCTCACGCGCGTATGTGTGTGTGTGAGCACACTCGCTTGTTGTGTGTGTGTGTGTGTGCGCATGTGTTTGTGTGTGAGTGTGTATGTGAGTGTGTACAACTTCGAAGAGAAGGTAAATTTATGGAACGAGAATTGCTGAGATTGTTTATAAAAGATAACACAAATTAATACAAAAAACAAAAAAACACGCGAGATCTAGTTAACAGTTATTGGCGAGGGAAACCCAAGAGCCTTGGGGGAAATCCTGGAAGACAAAAATAGATGGTGGAAATGTCATATATATTTGGGCCAATCACAAAGGTGTGCTAGGTGCTCGCTATAGCTTCATGTATTCGAAACAAAGCCACTCTCACAGCACTCAGCACTGTACTCTGTGCAGGGGAAGGAAGTTAGGAGAGAGAGGAGGACGTAGGGATAGGCCTATTAGATTGAACCTATGTTGTGTGAAATGTTGTGACAAAATCTGTAAGTTACCATGTGAGCAAAAAAAAAGGAAAGGAGGCATGCCAAGCGTGATGAAACAGCCCAAAATACAAGCGGATAGCTAGAGAACAAAAACTAAACGCCATTGGCTGATATTAACATTCTTCTTCTTCTCGATCGATCATACTTGAAGTCTGGTATCTGTCATAAATTGTTGGGCCATCCTGCTCAGATGCTGGTATTTACAGTAACAGCCATCTTATTTGACGTCATTGAGGGATACCCTTTTTGACAGTCATGGTGGCAACACGACCAAACAATGGCAGCCTGCAGACTCGGATTATTTTCTTTGCAACTTGCAAAACTATTTGGCTCGCTTGTCTGTGATTGTGCAGCACCCTTCTTCCGCCCAGATTGACTATGATGCTGAACACTACGTAAACTGAGAAAAAGAAAAAGATTAAGAGTAGACCTACTTATGAAAGCAAGTTCAAACAAAGTTCAACGATGCAGTGCAAATGATCGACCGCTACTATCCGGATAGTTTCTTTTAAAGTTTTATAAGCATAAGAAATTAAACACTTACAAGAGATTGGACTCAATAGGACACAGAGCTGCAAATGGAGTAGAGACCTAATTCGAGACTGCAAGGTTTGCAAATAATCGATATTGTGGGGCGGAGCTTATCGGGGCTGCCACCATCTTTGTAAGTTCAAAACAAAGCAGCGTACGCGGCGTTAATCTCTTTTCAAAACATGCAGCTCAGACTATATTGTCTCTCAAAATTTCTATTTCACTGTTAATTACAGCATTATAAGCACTCCCGTACAGTAATAATATAATAAGGATGGTAAGAAATCTTACTTGCATCAAATTACCAGCTCACTTAGTCGAATATTTACAGTAACACATGTACTACACATTGTGACGGTAAGATAAATTTTTATTCATGTTTTAAACAAGAAATTGGGATAATTGGGATCAAAACAAAAATATAAATGGGATAACAAAATTTTCAGGAATTTTCGGTAATAAAACTTCGTCAGTGCAAAATGATCATAACGATGTCATAACTGAAATTATTTTTACAAAAACGTAGACTTCTTGACTTTAAAAAAAAAGAGGACAAAATATATTTCTAACAAAATTGAAAATGATTCCACAAAAGTTGGAGTGAGGGTGGGATGCCATGGGCGAAGAATGAGGAAGGCGAGGGAAAGGCAGATGAGAGTGAAGTACGATGATGGAAATGAACCAACCCCCCCCCCCCCCCCAAAAAAAAATGCAAAGAGGGAGGGGCACCTTTAAAACACCCAGACAATTTATCAAAATTGTTCAAAATACAGTTAATTAAAGTGTCTTCAAAACTTAATTACAAATTTAAAATTATAGGCTTAAGTAAGAAGAATTTCAAAACAGAATGCACATTAATTATGACGTTTCTTATTTGACAATGTCACAATCCGTGCACAGGCAGAAGACACATGGTATCGAACATGTTTTACAGAAGAATTACTAAAAATACACTATGCAATAAAAATTCACAGACGGACACTATAAAGTTGAAACATTAGTAACTAGAAACATTCATTAAAACATTCATTCTCTACAGATAGAAAAACATTTCCGTTCTCTCTCTCTCTCTCTCTCTCTCACTCACTCTCTCTGTCTCCCTCTCTCTCCCTCTCTCTCTCTCACTCTCTCTGTCTCCCTATCTCTCTCTCTCTCTCTCTCTCTCTTTCTCTCTCTCTC